AGGGTGACAAGGCTACTCTTCCATGGATACAGTATGTTGAGTGAGAGGAGGAGAGGAAGTATCTTAATAGAAGAATCACCTGGTTAAAATGAAAAGGAAAAAAGCTTGAACTATCAGAAAACCACTGCAGCAAGGACTAGTAGACTGCAATATATAACATTTATGTTATTAGGGTTAAATGCACTTTGCATTTTAGAATGGCATTGAATACTCACATACAAGCTGGGTTTTTTAGGGTGAAAATAACCTGCCTAGACAAGAGCAAGTAAACCCCCTAGGTTACTGAACCTAGTCAAAACACAGAAGTGCTGAAGAACAAAATCAATGCAATGAATCAATACAACAAAGTGTTTTCTGTAGTCAGATAAATTGTCTCTTTATATTTTTAGAGGCTTTTGAGAAAAGAGATGTTACAAGGAGTGGCCAGACACCAGTGTCACTGTTTGTATCTATTAGTGTTTGATCGCATATACCTACAACAAAGTTGTCTTACACTGATTCATGCTTACTGACTATTTTGTAGTTTTGTTTTCTTTCAGTTCCATAAAATTAATATTACAGCTCTAAAATTGCATTAGATCATTTTAGTGAGGGGTAGTGAATCGTTTGTGTCAATGTGTCATGAAATATATTGATATACATGAGTGGGTTCGAAGCCATTAAGATATAATGGAGCCCATTATGGTCTACAGAAAAATAACCATCGAGAGAAAAACAAGCCAAGTGGTTAGAATGCAAACATACTGAGAAATTGTATTCCCATTTGAATTGATCCAAATGAACAATTTGGATTATTGCACACAGACTCTCAAACAATATGTTCATTTAATAATGAGCAAAGAGGAATGAACTGCCAATTTATTCTTAAGCAAGCAAATTAAGTATGTTGAAGAGTTTATACAGTGAGAGCCAAGTTAGTTGGCAAAGGTAGTGAGAAATAATTTGCCCTTATCAAACAGTATAACACTTACAATACCCTCTGGGTTTGTAAGAACGGCCATACACTTCTTCGAAGAAACACAATTTAATCTCAACTGTGCTGTAATCGTGCTAATAAATTATACAGTGTGATATCAAAATATGAAACTCAAAGTCAATTATATACAGTGTATACAGTAATGAATAGTTTACATTGATTCTTAATTCCCTTAATACATACATATTATACATCAATTAACAAACACATTTCCTACAAGAAAAAAGAACACTGGGTATATGACCAATATTTTCACATTATTATGGAATGTCATATATTAGGCATATTCATTTTCTCACATTTACTGCTAAAAATCATAAGTAAGCGACCCCTCTTGTCCAAAAAGTCTTGCTATATCGACAAGTGTAGTCCTGTTAAGTTTTGTCCACCACTCGGGGATCACAAAGAGAGAGGATATGGATTGCTGTGCCTTCTAGGAATGGCTAAAAGCCTGCTGGGATGAACTGGGTCTGTGTAAGGGAATTCCTGTGAGACGGCTGGCGAATAGACGTGCATGCGCACAGAAATGCGCGATCGCGCACACGCACAGCGAAGATTGGCGCCAGATGGACTATTTAAAAGGTGCCTCTGCCTGTACTGAGTGCTGACTGGTCTTCAGCTGTTCCCTGTTTCCTGCTCATTCCTGTGTGATTTCCTTGTTGATGATCCAGCTTGTTCCTGACCTGACTCTGATTACTCTCCGGCTTGATACTTGTTCCTGACTTCGGCTCTGCTCCTGACTTTGGCTTGCTTATGATTTGATACCTCGCTGTCCGCCCATTGATGACCCCGGCTATTCCTATGACATTGCTCCTGTCTCCCATCCCAGCTTCCTGTCTTACTCTGGTGCACACCTGGCGATCTACCATACCAGCTCTGCATATCATTACTGATCCTGAATCGGATGTTCATCAGTCTTCCAAAGTCTTCAACTGCAACAGCTGCAAACAACATCTGCTGGTGCTCTTGTTCCCATGGTCCCTAGACACCCTCTGTCCCACTTCCAGTGGGGTCAGGGCTAGTGACACAAGTGAGGCTGACCTCGTCATTTCAGTCTCCAATCAGGTACGTGACAGTCTGGTGGGAGATATATTCTCTACACTGGGACATAGTCCTGCAGAAGGAGCAGCATGAACAACATTTCCCAGATTGCCTAGAGGGAGCAGGCAGGGCAAAGAAGAAAAGAAAGAGAACTACAGGCCTAGGTGGAGAAAAAAGACTCACATAGAAAGAGGTCACAGGTACAGGTGTAGGAGAATGCTGCAGATTGAGGCAAGAACTGAAACTTCAAATAAAATAATAGTATCAATAGTATCAATAGGCTTAAAGTGGAAATCACAACTCTTGGACACAATCTCCCTTCACTTTGGTGTGGTCCTTTTAAGTTAGAGAAAACACCTGGGGGGACCAAGAAGGCCCACCACCATAAAAGTAGCTTTTTATTAGGGACCAACCGCAGTGTAACCAAGGTTCAATATACACCCTGTTCCAAATTATTATGCAAATTCTATTTAAGTGTCACAAAGATTAAATATTTTGTTTTTCACTTTAACTTATGGATGGCATTGTGTCTCAGGGCTCTTTTGATCACTGAAAACAATCTCGGACACCTGTGATAATTAGATTGGCCGGTGAGCCCAATTTAAGGAAAAAATACTAAAGGAGGGTGTTCCACATTGTTAAGCAGAGCACCATTTTCAAGCAATATGGGGAAGAAAAAGGATCTCTCTGCTGCCGAAAAGAGTGAAATAGTTCAATGCCTTGGATGAGGTATGAAAACATTAGATATTTCACAAAAACTTAAGCGTGATCATCGCACTATTAAGAGATTTGTGGCTGATTCAGAGCACAGACGGGTTCGTGCAGATAAAGGCACATTGAGGAAGATTTCTGCCACATCCATGCATCGGATCAAGAGAGCAGCTGCTAAAATACCATTACATAGCAGCAAACAGATATTGGAAGCTGCTGGTGCCCCTGGAGTCCCACAGACATCAAGGTGTAGAGTCCTCCAGAGTCTTGCAACTGTGCATAAACCTTCTATTCAGCCACCACTAACCAATGCTCACAAGCAGAAACGGCTGCATTGGGCAGAAAAATACATGAAGACTAATTTTCAAACAGTCCTGTTCACTGATGAGTGCTGTGCAACCCTGGATGGTCCAGATGGATGGAGTAGTGGATGGTTGGTGGACGGCCACCCTGTTCCAACAAGGCTGCGACGTCAGCAAGGCAGTGGTGGAGTAATTTTTTGGGCCGGAATCATGGGAAAAGAGCTGGTCGGCCCTTTTAGGGTCCCCAAAGGTGTAAAGATGACCTCTGCAAAGTATGTGGAGTTTATGAGTGACCACTTTCTTCCCTGGTACAGAAGGAAGAACTATGTTTTCCGTAATAAAATCATCTTCATGCATGACCAATGCACCATCTCATGCTGCAAAGAATACCTCTGCATCAATGGCTGCTATGGGGATAAAAGGAGAGAAAGTCATGGTGTGGCCTCCATTCTCCCCTGACCTCAATCCTATTGAGAACCTTTGGAGCATCCTCAAGCAAAAGATCTATGAGGGTGGGAGGCAGTTTACATCCAAACAGCAGCTCTGGGAGGCTATTCTGACATCTTGCAAACAAATTCAAGCAGAAACTGTCCAAAAACTCACAAGTTCAATGGATGCAAGACTTGTGAAGCAGCTATCAAATAAGGTGTCCTATGTTAAAATGTAACGTGACTGTTAAAATGTTTACAAAGTTAAAATGTTGTTAAAAGCTTGATTGAAATAGCTTTTGATTTCAGTAAATATGCTGCAAACACAACAAATTACAATTTTCAGTTCTTTACAACCTATAAAGTGTTTTGAAACTTACTGTGCGTAATAATTTGGAACAGTGCATTGTAAGTTTTTTATGTTAAAAAAAAAATCCTGTTATCATTAGGAGGTTTGTTCAATAAAATGTGAATTGTACTCTTAATAGTTGATAACATGAGAATTATGCTGACTGTTATTTACATCAATTATTTAGGTAAATGAGAAAAATATAATTTGCATAATAACTTGGAACAGGGTGTAAACTTTATTATTACCAAAAAGTCCATTCATAGCATAATAGCAAAAGTATTAAATAGAATGAATCCTCCAAACACCAAATAAAAAGCAAGATAAGACAACATTGTCACCTTAAAACACACTTGAGCCCAGGCCACAGCGCTACCATCCACACTGACATATACACCCTATGCAGTAATATTTTGTAAGCTTGGAGTCATATAAGCAATTGGTTCTGGGAGACCAATCGGCCACAGTGCCTGTCACCAGGCATAGCATAAAGCTCCCTCAGTAAAGGAGTCACCTATGGCACACTATCAGTCTGTGTGGACCAAATACCTCAAGCGCAAAGCAGCAGGCTAATGCAAAACCTATAAAGAATTGCTGCCAGTAGATCAGACATAGAGCAACACATTTAAAATGACCTATTATAAATAGCTATTAGCATTAGTAGCACTGATGATGCAATCAGTTTTGGTCCGCTGCTTTTGTGAACCGTATAGAGAATGGCAGGTATCAGCAGAGGAAGGACAAAAAAAAACAACAAAGCATGATCCAATTTGCTCCAGCAAGAGAAAAAAAAGTTTCTTCGGATCCCCCAGGAGGCAATCAGATATTGGATCCACTACACCTGGTATTACCTATAAATGCTAGTAGCCACATTTCTGTTACGTTATTTTTAGGCTTTAGTCAAGATACAAACTTGTATATAGAAACATAGATTTATCTGTACATTTTCCAGTAAGGCAACATTCACATAATGAGTAAGCATGAACCAAATCGTATAAGCAACATGTATGACCACTGTGACACAAAAATTGTATTGTAGACAATATATTACAAAGATGTATAGAAAGAAGGAGTGTGGGGAGTAAACAAGCCGTATGCATGCACCTACTCCAGCAGCAGCTGGATTTCATTCTTTAAAACCTGCTTTCTAATAGATTACACTAGTAGTCTTCACCAAGAGCGTGATGTGACAGAGTGACAATGCAGGAGCACAAATAGGAGACAGTTGTAACCCCTTAACAGAAAGCGCCTGAGCAGGGGCGGACTGACAACTCATGGGGCCCCGGGCAATAGGGGATCATGGGGCCCCTATGTCCTTGCCCAAAGTCAAAAAAGCCTATGAAAAAGGTACCAGGGGCATCTCATGGGGCCCCCTACTGACCCCGGGCCCTCGGGCAGTGCCCGAGTTTCCAAATGGTCAGTCCGCCCCTGCGCCTGAGTCAATACCTTCATGGCAAAATCATCAGGTATTCTAAAAAAAAATTGTCATGCTCAAAAATATTAAAAACTACATTTGAAATTGCATTAAACCTTCCTGGCCTCAATGTGTTTACTAACTTTCCCCAGAAAAATGCCCCATGTTACAGATATATTAACGACTTTGTGCCAATGCCTCCCAGTCTTTTAAGAGCTTCTAGATGCCAAGAGATAGAGACAGGCATTCGGGTCATATGATCGCTATGATTGGCTGTCGCAGCAGTCTCATGATCAGAAAGCTCCCAATGGAAGGTATGCATTGGGAGCTTACTAATCCCCACCGGTTACTGTGCTGTGAGCGTGCAGGGAGCATGCTCTCAGCATGGTAAGTTATTTATACAGGGCCATATGTATACAGCCACTCGACGTTAAGGCCCACCCGGCGAGAGGCCGCATATATGTGTTTTGCTGGCACAAAGTAGTTAATAAGTGTCCCCTCCTTTGTATGAACTCGCCCTTAATCCCCATTCAGAGTGGCCACTGACATGTGATCCATATGTCAGCTCTAACACTTGCACATAGGCATACAAACCTCTCACCTGTCCAGAGTTTATTGTGATATTACATAAACAAAAAAAAAAAAACAAGAAAAGGAACCCCATAACTAGACTTTATTAGATAGGATACTTCAAACTTGTCTGTTTCTTTTCAAACTCGCTTATTCCTTTGATATAACACACGTTGTGCACATTCCCCCTTCCTCTGAATAGTAATATTGACTGTGGAAATATATTGACAGTACCATTACAAATGTGCATAGCAGTGGCTACTATGGGTGAGATTTGTATATTCTGGAATTTTTTTATATTTTGTACAATAAACGGTCTTAAAATGGGGACATGCCTGTTGTAGTGATGTTTGTTAGATATTGATATTAATAGTAATGTTTCAGAATTATATGGCAACCATTCTTTGAAGTCTAATAATGATGTTCTTTTTCTTGTTTTTTTTTTCAGCTCTAACATAGAAATCCCATGCAGGCTGGAGGCTTCAGTTAATAAAGTGAAAGCCTTCAGCCTTCAACTGTCAGATACAGTTGCATTATTATTTGATTACCTTTTAGCACATTTGTCAGCTTATAATAAAAGGGAACAGGATTTTTTTTTTTATACCAAGTAATAAATAAATAATCTCATATGTGTGCAGGTCTGATTTTCAGTCTGTGGTGGTGTAGTGATGGGCCGAACACCCATTGTTTGCTTCGTGGTCGAAAATTCGAACCTAACGAAAGTTTGACTGCAAACTTTGATCAAGTCTATGGGACTTGAATTTGTAAATTCAAAAGTGCCCATTTTGAAAGCTTATATGCAAGTTATTGGCCATAAAATGGGTATGGGAACTCGGGTGCTGCCCTGAGGAACATGAATCAGTGAGAAAAAATGTTTTCAATAACTACAGTTTCTAAAAAAGTTTTTTTTTTTTAAATATATTTTTGCTTAAGAAAAAAAAAAGCATGGGGTCCCCCCAATCCATACCAGGACCCTTTAGTTTGTGGGTTCCCCCTAAAAGCCACACCAGGCCCTTTAGGCCTGGTAGGACTTTTAAGGGGAACCCCACACAAAATGGGGGAAGAAAGCATGGGGTCCTCCTAAATTCATACCAGACTCTTTTTCCGAGCACAGGCTTAGCAGGCCAGGAAAGGGTGGGGGGCAAATGAGCGCCTTCCCCCCTCCTGAACCGTACCAGGCTCCCCCCCAAAGTACCTTGTCCTCATGTTGATGGGGACAAGGGTCTCTTCCCCACAACCCTGGGCTGTGGTTGGGGGGTCTGCAGGGGGTGATTTATCATAATCTGGAAACCCCGTTTAACAGGGGGGCCCCCAGATCCTGGTCCCCCTTGTGAATGAGTATGGGGTATAGGGCTTAAAATTTCGAGTCTAGACCACCAGTTGCCCCACCCAACCTTGCTTAGGTCTGCCTCCAACCCCACCCCTGGCCCATCCCCCCAACCCCAACCCCACCCCTGGCCCATCCCCCAACCCCACCCCCAGCCTTGCCCCCAACCACACCCCCTTAAAGCTTAAAAGTAGAAAACATACACAGTGTGCATAACAGGACAGTCTGTAATAATTACAGACTGTCAGAATATGCACACCGTGTATGTTTTCTACTTTTAAGTACATTGTTGTACTGCAGCTCAACCACACTGAGTCTTTCAATTCTTTTTATAAAAAAAAATTTGTTGCAATAAACATTTATTGTTTTTTACCTGTGTACACACTTTTTTTGCCTTTCAAAGTCCCAGGGGGATATTTCCATAGTTACTGTCTGTTTCAATATTTGGGATGTTGGCAAAAACAGTGTAAATGGTGGGGCATTGTACCCAATTTCCTAGTCTTTCTAATCTCACCAGGCCAGGCCAGGCCAGACACAGACAACAGTAAAATACATTGGTTCTAGCCCTTTCTCTCTCTATACAAAACTTCAAACAATTGGTGCTCCACTCTAACTGTGACAATGAGTAACGACCTGCAGTGTGCATGCAAGCAGCTCACCTTAAGCTAGCCATACACAAGTAATTTTCCTCCAAAGTGGTGGAGAGCAGGCCTCGTGTCCCCCGCGGCGGTGAAGAAGAAACCAGAAGTCGGAAACCGGCAGTCGGCTTCTCAACGAGGCTTGGAGCACAAGTGGAACGCAAATCGATGGGGATCACATTGCAAGCCACCCGCTCCATTGCAAGCCACCTGCTCCATCTGTGCTCGCCACAAAGTGATTTCCCCTTGCATTTGGCATTGGTTTGGCCAGTCTCAATGCACTGTCAAAGCACAGTGCATTGTGGGGTGCAGCGGGCGAACAACCCGCCGAATGCCCTTGCGGTTCGTTCATTCGCCGAACACACAAATGGCCGATGTTCGAGTCGAGCTTATGTTCCACTCGAACATCAAGCACATCACTATTGTGGTGCATTAGTAGTCCATTCAAATGAATGCAGTGTCTTAAAGCTATAGGCCCTAGAGCTATTTGTTAAAGTGAAACTACAGTTTAAAAATTAAAAACTGGCTTGGGCATCTAGACATCAATGGCCCTTGGTCACAAAAGGGTTAATATGTTAAAGCAAATATGAGATTTTAATGACTTTGTACAAATCTCTTTTAAATTGACCCTGTCATTTCCTCAACAACATAAAAGTGACTGCTGAAAAAAAAAAGAAAACTTTCTGATTGGTGATGTGTTGAAATTTCGCTCTCTTGCAGAGCTCCTAGCACTGCTTCTTCAACACTTCTGATCAGCAGGAGGAACAACAATAGGTAATGCATTTACAGCAAACAATATCATCTGAATAATTAATTCTTAATTTTTTTATTGTCATTCTACATTTTGAGTTTTTCCGCAATACACAACTTTTTGGTCTACTCCTTTTCCTTTTTGGTATTTACTACGAAAGCATTTCTTTCCACTTTGAATTATATTCAGAATATTTACATTACCATTGTGAGCCTGTCGCCTGCAGGTTTCTCAATCTACATCCTTCCCATGATTTCCTAATTTGCTACTAGATTGTAATCTAGTGTGCTCCATTCTCATGCTGTTTTCATCACCATGTGACAGAAACCTATACTGTTCAGTTATACTGTTAAACTATAAATTGCCGAGACAGTATAGTACAGCATTTCTCACTGATTCTATAAAAAAATAGTCTACCATCTGGCCTAGCAGGTACTATACTATAATGTGAGGAGCTATGTTTTTACCACAAAGTTTTTATTGCATATACAACACTCAGTTATGCTTGTGTAAGGATGGTTAATAACAGTAATTTTTTTGTTGAAATGCTTATGGTGTCTTTTCCATTTCATCCTTCTGGCTGTTTCCTGCAATTTCTAATACATTTATACTTCTAAAACCTCTAAAAGAAAAACCTGCTTATCAGACTACACCAGACTGTACAAACCACTTATGCAAAATCAATCTATCTCTCATTCTCTTTTGCTTTCTTCCTGTATGTTTTATATATAAAACCACTGTGAAAATGTAGGAGAAAGTGACATAGGGTTAGCTCATAGGTAGAGTGCAGGACTCGAGAATGTGAGTTCTGAGCAGAAAAAGGTGTTTTTTCATCTTTTTCTAGGTTTTGTAATTCCTGGATCAGCGTCTGGAGTTCTGAGATTTCCGAGTGCCTTGGGTGAGAAGAAGTTTCCAACCCAGTGTCTAGATCTTGGTAAAGACCAACAAGGTGTGTGCCCAGGTGCACAGAGCCCTTATAATGAAGGCTTGGCCATAGCTCAGGGATCCACCAGAGAGACAGGACATCTCTGCATAGAAGTCAAGAGGACTCCAACCTTTCCCAGGATTCAAGGAAGGCTGCATGGGGCAGCTAGAGTATGTATGTTTGCACAGTGCAGATGCAGTTAGTGACAAAGCAATAGGGAGCTGCAGGAGAGCCAGGAGTGGGCCCATGCAGCAGGGTGCTGCAACTAAAGACTGAGTGAGCCTAGAGAACCAGGAGGGCTGGATGATACAGTCAAAGGAGCTGGTAAGGAGAGCCATGGTGTGCTGCTGACAAGAGAGCTAGGTGGATTGGCATGTTTTCAGTTGACTGTGTTCATAAGGGAAACTCCTGTATGGGCAACTGATTTCTGTGCGAACTTTTGCATTCTGTTTAATAAAAGTGGGCTGCCATGCTCTAAACTAGAGTTTGGGCTAGCACAATTCATTGAAAATGCATCTACCACATGATTTACCCCAAAAAATCCATACCAGACCTTTATCCAAGCATGTAGCCATCTGGCTGGCCAGGAGAGAAAGCAGCAGCAAGCTTTCACTCCCCTCCTGAACCATACCAGGCCACATGTCATCAGCACGAGGAGGGTACCTTGCCAGGGTTGCCCCTCTATGATGTAAAATGTTAAATAGTAAATAAACACACATACAACACCATAGATAAAGCCCTTTATAAAAAATAAATTAAAAAAGTATACATAAATAAATAAATCCTGCAATGTAAAAAAACAATGTCTCACAATGTTTGAAAAATAATATCCCATGATGTCCCAAAAATATCCCACATTGTCCAAAAAAATGTTTTTTCATAAAGTAAATTCCTTATGATGTTTCTGCTCCCACTCATACTCCATTACCAACGACATCTCAGTTGGCTGCTGTTGCATGCAAACAAACTGGCCAGGGTACTGGTTAACAGGTGTGTTTACAGAAGAGATCAGCACTGTTAGTTATTAGTTGTAGCTCTGCCCCTGTAGGGGCTATTTAGAATGAGTCCTCTGTTCTTTGCCTCAACCTGTTTAGAGACTTAAGTCCCTCTGACACACAATGTTGAGTGTACACAGCATGCAATATCACAGAAAATCACTGAAAGTATTCCTTAGGACCAAGTAGTAGTACTATACCAAAAAAAAAACAAGCACTGAACAGTTAGTAAAGCAAACTTAATATATTGTCACCTGATAAGGTTAGTAAGAAAGTAAGCATTAAAATGGATTAACAATAATAATAACAACACAATTTAGCATACAGGGTGATTAACCACTTGCCCTCCTGCAGATTTACCCCCTTCCTGACCAGGCCATTTTTTGCTTTACCGAGCTGCGTTACTTTCACTGACAGTTGCGCGGTCATGCAACGCTGCAGCCAAATAAAAATTTACGTCCTTTTTTCCCCACAATTTAAGCTTTGTTTCAATGTTATTTGATTTGGTTTTTATTTTTTGTGCTATAAAAAAAAAGGAAAGACCAACCATTTTGAGAAAAAAACAATATTTTTGACTTTTTGCTATTAAACATGTCCAGTGAAAAATCAAATTTCGTCATAAATTTAGGCCAGCATGTATTCTGCTACATGTCTTTGCTAAAAAAATCCCAATTCATGTAAATTAATTGGTTTACGTGAAAGTTATAGCTTTTACAAATGGTGGTATATATACTGGATTTTTTTTTTTAACTAGTAATTGTGGCGATCAACGACTTATAGCGGGACACGGGACTGCGGCTGGCATTCTGACACTGGGGAGAACTGACTTGGTGTCACTGAAATCCTCAGTGACATCAATACAGTCATCAGTGCTAAAAAAAAAGCACTCACACTGTACTAATGTCACTGGGCAGGAAGGGGTTAACATGAGGGGTGATCAAAGGGAGTGTTTTACTGGGGGGTGGTCTGTTGGTGCTTCACTGTAAGCACACTGCTCTGGATGGCTGTGCTGTATACAGCCATCCAGAGCAATGTGCCCGAGCCGACAGAGAGGAGGACTGTTAGTAAACAAAGCAGCCCTCCTCTCCTTCAGAGATCCTCTCTGTAATCACCGGGCGCCAGCGGTTAATCACTGGCCGGGACCGGGTGATTGCCAGCTGCAGCTGAATGGTGGTGCGGGTAGGGCGCACGCGACTCACACACGATGTCCTGCCTTCAGTAACTCAGTCCCTGCTAGCAGTGTTAACAATGGGCAGTGCCCTCTCACCAGTCCCTGTGGTGCAGCTATGAACTCTCACTGTAGAAAGCGGGGCTCCCTCAGTCTCTCCACAGAATGCCTCCAGAGATTCATTGGTGGAAAGTAGAGTGTGAGAGGATGCTCTGTTTTCCCTGTGGCAATGGTGCAGATGCAAGTGCTGCAGTCTGTGATGTACTGCCTTGTGTGTCTCTGCTGGTCTGGCCTCTCAGCAGTCTGGTCAGTATGCAGCAGATGTTCTCTCATTGCCATCAGTTCAGTAAAAAATATTCCACCATTCCTCCTACCACAGTGTCTATCTGATTTGTAGTCTATAGAGTCTATGGGTCCATTATATGGCCTCTGTTCCAAACTACAACTCCCAGGATTCTAAGTGCTCTACATAGAAGTCTGTGGGTTTCCTTGGCTTTAGCTCTCCCCTTGGTGGCTAGACAAGAAAGGTGCAAAATAACATCAGTATCTCTGTAGAAAGTGAAAATGAACTGAAAATGTTTCCTTCTTCATGTTTCTGTAGTCCAGAACCTGGCTACATAGTGATGAGTGAATCTGCTTGGCTTTGAACTGAGGGCAGGTTCAGCAAACATGTCCACAAACACACTATTTGCAAACCCCATTGAAGTTGAAGTAGATGAACCTTAAAAATCAGTTATCTCCATTTTTAAGACTAAGGGCTTATTTACATGGGTGAATTTGCCTGTACAGCATGGAGCTGCACATAGGCAGCCTGTTTTTGTCAATGGAGAAAGACCAAGTGAATGGATTCCATTTCTGACAGATGCACAGACCCGGACGCAGACAATGTGCATCTAGATTTTTGTACTCTTTAATGTAATACAATTAACATTAGTAACGATTTAGACAAAGAACAGCCATGATGTAGATAGTATCTTATCATATATTCCTCAGTAGTAATAAATGTTAAAAGTATGATTTGTGACTGTCCCAAAGGAGATCTACGGCAATAGCATACACTTTCATTTTATAACATCAGAATTGTAACAGCAATACAAACACTGATGAGGAGGCACTAGTAGGTGGCACTGATGGGCATTGACAGGCATCACTGATGGGCACTGAAAGGCAGCACTCATCATATATGGCACTGATAGGTGGCACTGATAGGTGGCACTGACAGGCGGCACTGATTGGCACTGATAGGCAGGACTGACTGGCACTGTTAGGTGGCACTGAATGGCACTGTTAGGCGGCACTGATAGGCAGCACTGATGGGCACTGATATGCAGCACTGACTAGCACTGATAGGCGGCTCTGACTGGCACTGATAGGCAGCACTGATTGGCAGCACTGATAGGTGGCACTGACTGGCATTGATAGGTGGCACTGACTAGCACTGATAGGTGACACTGAAAGGCAGCTCAGATGGGCACTGATATGGGGCATTGATGTGCACTGGTAGGCACTGATATGTGGCATTGATGAGGCACTGATGGGCACTGGCAGGTGGTATTGATGAGCACTGACAGCTGGCATTGATGTGCACTGACAGGTAGCACTGCTGGGGCTACACTACACTGATCATCAGGGCACACTGATCATCAGTGTCCTGATGATCAGTGTATATGTCCCCTCAGAGGAATGCCGATTACCGGCTCTCCTCTCCTCTCGAGCTGTCAGTGTGAGGAGAGAAATGCCGATAACCAGTATTTCCTTATTTACATGCGATCAGCAGTGATTGGACACAGCTGATCACATGACCGAGCCGACATCTTTGGCTCTTTCTGTTGATCGGTGATCTGCTGTGTCCGAGAGACACAGCACACCGCCAATCGCCACGCTGCGCGCTCCTGGAGCCGCGCACACAGTTAGAGTGAGAGGACCTTATATGGCAGGCGGGAGGCAGTTAAACATCTCACAAGAGCTGGTGCAGTACAAACTCTCACAGCTTGCTGAGCGTAGTTGGACAATGTCATTTGTTCGCCTCTGCTGATCACTTTCAGTTTCTAAGGACTATATATCCCATGGTACCTTGTTGCCTGCAAGTAGTGATTCCTGTACTGACTCCACCTCCTGAAACTCCTCCTCTCAGTACCTCTGTAGGTCAGAAAGCAGGCTCAGTAAAATGTGTAACAAAGCAGTACCTATCAACAGAGCATAGTGAATATGTGTCATAAAATTCAAGGAACTACACGTGTGAGCAGGAGCAGACTGACCATTTGGAAACTCGGGCACTGCCCAAGGGCCCGGGGTCAGTAGGGGACCCTATGAGATGCCCCTGGTACCTTTTTCATAGACTTTTTTGAGTTTGGGCAAGGACACAGGGGCCCCATGATCCCCTATTGCCCGGGGGTCCCATGAGTTGTCAGTCCACCCCTGCGTGTGAGGTTTCTTTACAAAGTAGGTTTGAAGACTTCGAGGTCATTAAGATTAATATGAGTAGGCTAGAAATAATTGAAATACAATGTGGAAATGAATACATGGTTTTACCACAGATGGACTCAATCAATAAGTTTTGCATTTAGATCTGTAATAAATAAATCATAGTCAAATTTAAATAGGCTAGAGACCTAAATTATTATGGTCCTTTGAAGGAAAAAAACACATTATTATGGGCTAACTGATTACCCTTTTTATAATAGTTTGGAATAGTACTTTCCAAAATAATGCATGTAAAGATGTAGTGACAAGATGATTTTTGGTGATTTGTTTGCTTCCTTTTTATGACTATCAGGAGAATCCACTTAGCTAAGCTTGAGTAGTTTCAAAGTAGAGGAGGATTTATTTTTGCTTTCTCTGTATTCATCTGGAGTAATCCATAGTGTGTCTTGATCCTCTCTTGATCCAAAGTTGTACAAAATGAAAATAAGAAACTATATCAGCTGAACTAGTACCTTGTTTGTTCCACCATCACCCACATCAGTCTTCTCAGAGCTTAAACATATCCAGTAGTTTATTGTCAAGAATAAAGCTTACAAATAACCTATACTTGTTAGAATTTTTTTTTTCAAGACATTTTCTAATCCCTATATGGTACTGAACTAGATGAAAGAAAAAAAAACATGATAACATTTGACAATAGTGAGAATTATTCTTTCCCATATGTGGGCTTTCTCTTGGAACTCTGATTCACTCCCATCTCCCACAAATATAGATATACAGGGCATTTGCCAAGATGTGTGTTTTGTAAGAAAATTAGGTTGTTATCTCCACAGATGTAAAAATGAATGAGAATGCTCCAAATCACTCATATTCAGCCTTTGATCCATTCATCCTTTAATATATCCATCTACTTTTTGGATTGCTAAGTAGCTCAGTCCAGATTTCCTTAGGCTTGTTGAGAAATATAGATTTGAAAGAATACTCTGGATTCGGCTACACCTCTGCCAAGGTATCAACATCTCTGCATCTGAAACTTCACAATCTTAAGAAGTAGTGGAACTTTCCTAAGGTGCTAACTGACTACCACACTCCTGACATTAGCACACCAAGTTTCATGTCTTTGTTATTTATAAATATATAAAAGGGACGTTCAAGTCAAACCAGGTCTTTTAATTTTACAGGTATAAAAAGGGATGCTAGCATGGTGGTACTACAAGCAGTAGTAAGTGGTAAGTGTGTCCTATTACTGATAGGGGGCGCACACATGTTGTAGGCCAGTCCAGAGACTCCATCAAGACGGCAGACAACAGTGTTGGTGCGTACATGGAACAGTGTGTGGTAATGAAGTTTCTTGTGAACGAAGGTGTAAAACCCACAGATATCTACAAAAGACTTCAAGCACAATACAGTGATGAGACGCTCAGCCGCAGTAAGACAATATAATGGTGTAAAGACTTCAACGATGGCCATACGTTCATTAGTGATGATCCCGGGCATGGTGGTTCCTAGCTCACAGCAGTCATTCTTGTGAACATTCAGCATGTGGAATGGCTGATCCTGGATAATCAACACATAACCTGTCTTGAAAATGCACAAGAGACAAATCTTTCTGTAGGAAAGGTGAACACAATGATGACAAAGTGAAGCAGGCTGTCCTAGGATGGTTCAGGCTCACTGACGAATCTTTCTTTGCCGAAGCTTTCCTTGTGTCCTTCTGTGGCACTACTTAAAGTGAATCTAAAGGCTTAATAAAAAAAAAAAATAATAAACACATCATAATTACTTGCTCTGTGCAATAGCCCAGATTCTTCTCTTCTTGGGTCCCCTGCTGGCGCTTCTAGCCTCTTCCCCTCACTCCCAAGCCACCTCTGTGTGTCCCACCTCACTGGCCATGATTGACAGCAACAGGAACCAATGGCTTCCGCTGCTGTGTCTGAACCAATGAGGAGTAAGAGATTCAGGAGAGCTGCTGCTCTCATGCACATTGCTGGATCGACATCAGCTTCAGGTAGGTAATAGGGGAGCTGGGAGCAAAACTACACACTGAAGGTTTTACAGGTAAATCAAGGTAAAAAAAAACACCTTCAGCCTTTAGAACTACTTTAAAGCATTATACATAGATGAAATACATATCTGTTTACCTGACAATTTGTATTTTTATCCATCCTGCACAGCAATATCTAGACATTTATCATTTAGTACAGTGATTTGCTCTCCTCAATCCCAATATGCAAAGTGACCAGTGAGCAAGCAGCATCAGACTGATGAAGTCATGCCTCTTCTCACTCTGTTTTGAATGTCTTTTTATTCTGTGAAAAGAATACAAGATATTTTCTTAACAAACTTTATGAAGAGCAAGTAACGCAGTTACTCCTTACTTGGAGTTCAAACAGTGGAACTCCAGCAGCTGAGTTGGAAGATCAAAGCTGACAGTGGTATCCAGTATTATACTATCCATTCGATTTTTAGCATCTTCAGAAGCCCTCTGGACTTGGTTTACCAAGAATTAAAGGTAAATAAGCTGTACTCAGCAAAAATATTTTTCCACTTTAATGAAACTGATGAGAGGATTTTGGACCCTGTGCCACGAAGTGAAATAAGATCTCTTTTCTTAAACACCACATTGGAACATCCTGTGCAAGAACCAAACAACTAAAGGTTTTCATATTGAGCAATGGAACCTGGGTATCAAAGCCTTTAGTGGACATTTTACCTGTGTGTTTGAAAGATTAAGTATAAGATTATAGTTTCAGACAAGGTACAGGTCTGTTGGTTATGGTCTTGTTCCCCTCAGCCGCTCCAATCTTGTGGAGACTTAATAACCAAGAAAGTATGGACATATGAATGGTATTGTTTGTTATGAGAGTGCTTGTTGTGGCTAAGTAATCTTCTAAAACTGTACAGAGTTTGGGTGTCTACAGGGTTACATATATCAGTTTGGCTGGTGTTAAGAAAGGTTATATCATACTGTATGTTAATCAGCTTCTTTGCAGAAATGATTACAATGGTATAAGCAGTGGCGTCCCTAGGCAGATGCGGGGGGTGCGCGCCGCACCTGGTCACACCTACAGCACGGGGTGACACCGGACCTATTCCACAAAAAGGTAAGTTGTAAAGGAAGTCGACAATCCCCACAGGACGGATCGGATCTGCGGATTGAGCATAATGGATCGGAGTCCGATCCATTATGCTCCCCAATCCGCAGATTCGATCCATCCTGCGGAGATCGTCGGCTTGCTTTACAACTTACCTTTTCGTGGAGCGGGTCCGGTGTCACCCCGTATAGGTTGCATGCCGAAGATCCCACACAGGATGGATCACATCTGTGGATTGGGGAGCATAATGGATCGGACTCCGATCCATTATGCTCAATCTGCAGATCCCATACATCCTGCAAGGATCATCGACATGCAACCTACACGGGGTGACACCAGACCCGCTCCACGAAAGGTAAGTTGTAAAGCAAGCTGACAATGCCCGCAGGATGGATTGGATCTGCGGATTGAGCATAATGGATCGGAGTCTGATCAATTATGCTCAATCCACAGATCCGATCCATTCTGCGAGTATTGTCGGAGGTGGTGTCACCAAGTGTTATCGCACCGGGTGACACCAACCATAGGGACGCCCCGGGTATAAATATATCCTCGAAATATAAACAATATTGAACTTTCCTTTTGCTGAAAAAAGTCATGTATATACATTTAATAAACCTGGGTTATATTTTCACAGCACAATAAATATGTTCTAGGTTCTTCTACAACAGATGGCGGAGAATGGCGTGCACCTATATTGACCTATCAAAAAAGCAGATTTAAAGGATGGGTACAGACAGGTGGCCATGTTAAGTAAGCCTGCACCTTATTAGTTTCTCCCCTTCTGCTAAGTTCACTGGGCTCTGGTAGTATTATGTAACAGCTAACTCAACAGGGTTGATTTACTAAGCACTGTGCACTCATTTTCCCCAGAGTTTAGTGAATATGGCGAAGCTCTGCTGATTTTCATCATCCAATCATGTGTAAGCAAAAATGCAGTTTTTTTTTTTAATTTTGCTTCCACCTGATTAGATCATCTTTCCAAACAGAAGCTTTACCAAGCTCTGGGGAAAATGAGTGCACAGCATATAGGCCTTTAGAAAATCAACCCCAATCTCTTTTGTGCAGTGAACCAATAAATTAATGTAAACCAATGTGGTATAATTCTGTAACTTTGATGACTTCTACCTCATTCACTGTTTTCCATTAACCGTACTTTTCTACTGGGGTAAGTAAATTGGGGATTGTTTGTTATCAGACCACTTAGACACCTTGACATTGGAAGAAATTAATGTAGAATGGGAGAGCTTTTTGGTACAGGATCAACATCAATGGTAACTGTTGAGCGGTGGTACAAAAAGTAAATTTAAACAATCACAGTATTTTGAGATCCTTGAGCTGCAATGGG